CTGTGCCGCCCACTGGCCAGGGCACCGTCGGCTTGTTTACCAGGGACTTACTGGAGAAGCTGTCCCGGCTGCTTTTTATCACTTCTCTTTACATTTAAGCTCGCAGAGTAAACAGGCCCCATCTGGCCCTGCCGTGCTTCACGCTGGCTGCTCTAAGCCCTGTGGTAATGAATAAAACCAGACCCAACAGTCCTCACCCTGGCTTCTTCATCCTCTTCCCCTGGGGCAGCAAATTGTCCCCAGGTGCCAACGTGGCATCACCAACAGGTCCCTGCCCCCCCCCCCCCCATCCCTAATATGGTTGCCAGTGCCTTCACAGCCCCCTCCTCTTCCTCCCTTCCCACCTGCTGCCCGGAGGAGCTGGATTAACCAGCAGCATCCCCTGACATGGAGGGGGCTGCAACAGGAGCAGGGCTGGGGGCAGCTCGCTGTGCCAGCGGCAAAAAGCCCTTAGTGAAGTCAAGGAAGAGGTAACTCTTGTCTAGGTCAGAGTAACTTAATGTTTCTCTTCTTGCCCGTGGGCAGGTGGTTTTCCAGCAAGGCTGCTGCAGCAAGCCAGGCACCCGAGCCCCGCAGGCTCCTTAGCTGCCTGTAAAGTTCTCAGAGTTTCACCTGCTGCAGCAACAGCCGCCCACGCCGGTGGGTGTGCAGCGTGGTCCTGGGGAAGGATGAGGCCAGCCCCGGCACAGGCAAACCCAGTGGAAATTTCCACTGGTGACAGATGCACAGTCCGGTACAAACAGAAGGCTTGAAGGAGAGGAGCCCAAACCTCTGTGGCAGCACCAGGAGCGAGGGGTCATTGCTGCCCCTCCTGCTCGCCCGCGTTACCCCCTGCCTCCCTCACCTCCCCTCCCTGCACGACATCCCCCCATCACTGCTGGGATGGGGCACAAGGGCAGGAGAGCAAGATCCATCCCCATTCCTGGAGCAGGGAGGAAGCCACAGAGGCAGGAGGTGGCCGAGCTGCTGCCCAGCACCCGTGGGGCATGCTGCTTTGCAGAGAGCCCGAAGAGGAGGAGCGGAGGGGAAAGGGATTTCCCCGGCAGCTGCAGGTGAAGAGGACAGGGTGAAGGGCTGTCCCCAGCCTCTGGTGCTGTCCCCCTGGCTGTTTTGTCTGCTGGGAAGTTGAAACACAGGGCAGAGTGCTGCACTCACACACACACACACGTGTACATGCATGCACACACACCGCATCCAGGACCACCGTGTCCAGACCCGTGCTGCTGCTCTCGCCTCCCCAGAGCTGCTAAAACCCCTGGAAAAACCCCATCCCCGTGCCAGGGAACAGGAGTTACTTGCCCTCCATGCACCCTAACACAGGCACCCCCCCCCCGCCTCCGAAAAATGTCCCAGCCCCCCAGATTTCCCCCGACACAGGCACATCCCGGGGGTGCAGCCCTGCAGAAGGGTCCCACCACAGGACATCTGTGGTGTGGGCCAGGAACCGGTTGCTGATACCCTGGGGCACGCTCCCAGCAGTTATCAGGGCGAGCCCTGATGGGTCCATACCGGATGGTGATTTCAGCACTTTTGTGGCCCTGCAGCCTCATCTCCCACCTCACACCCCTCCTGCGATCCGGGGCTGCCCCTGACAGCAGGTGCGTGACCCTGGGGCACCCACAAATTGCAGGATACCCACAGGGTCCCGGACTCTCCCCCTCCCCGCCCCCCCCAGCCCTTACCTGGAAGAGGAGGATGACACAGGGGCTGCAGACTCAGCTCAGCACCTGCTGGGTCCCTGCCCTCCGCAGAGCCCTGTGCCCTGGGGGTGGGTTCCCCTGCCCCTCTGGCTGGGGGGCTGCGGTACCCAGGGGGGATGAGCGGTCCTTCCCCGCCTCTCCCTGCTGCAGGCTCCCTCTCTGGCACTGGCTCCTTCACCGCCCTCGCTCCATCCCTCACTCCCTGTGCCAGCGGCAGAGCTGCTCCAAGCCCAGCCTCATTAAAGAGACACACTCCCCGGTACCGCCGCCCCGGGGAGGGCTGGGGGGATGCTCTCATGGGGGTGGCGCTGGGGGTCTCAGGGGACGGCCGACACGCCTAGAGAGTGACAGGCACCCGCCAAGAGCAGAGCCCTCTGCTGTGGGCTGCTCTGCACCCACAGTGTGGCGATGTCCAGCCGAACCAGGGTGCTGGTGAGACCCCAGGGTGATGCTGTGGCACCCATAAACATGAGGCTGGGCTACCTGGAACACATAGCCACCTCCCTGGTGTACCCCCCAAACAAAGCACAGGGCAAAACGCAACCCCCCGTCAGCCAGCTGAACTCTCCAGTGCAAATACCACAGTGTCACACCACCACAAGTGTCACAACCAGCTTTGCTAGGAAAGGTCTCAGCTGCCCTGAGACTGATGCAAAAGGATCGGGCACAAGCGGGTGCTGAGCACCCACCCCAAATCCAGATGCCCTGGGGTGCCACCGGGACCATCCTTATCAGTCTCCATGTGCTGCAGTGAAATCCCAGCCCCAGAGAGCAGAAAAGAGAGTGGATTTGGGGACAGACCAGACTTTGGGTCACAAGTGTGACAACAACCCCCCTTGGGGAGGCTACAGACGGTCAGGAAATCCCAGAAAAGCCAGGACATGTCTGCTGGCAGAGATCTCACTGCTTGGGATGCACTGGGAATCCCTCAGCTGCCACTGCTGGCCCGGCATTCCCAAGCGGGACCGGAGAAAACCATCAGATTTGGGGCTAATCCCTGCCCTGCCTCTCCCAGGCAGCGCCCTCGCTGTGCTATAGATAGGGCTGTGCTGCCGCGGCTCTTTTTATAGAGCATGCAGAGGGGAGCCACCCCCTTCCCGTGCACCACAAAACCCACCGTCGCAGCCACGCCGAACCCGGAGGCAGCCCAGCCACGCAGGCACAAAGCAGGGCAGAAAGAGCAGGCAGCGCCGGCGTGGGGACCGATCCCCAGTCCTCGGCAGGTGATTTCGGAGCAGCACCGGGGGCGAGGAGGCCTGGCAGAGCAGCGTCTCCCCACCCAATCTCACCTCTAAGCTGACCCACGCGCCGCTACGGCTTCGGCTCCTCGGTACGGGTTTCGCAGGTGACGGCAGGAGCAAAGGAGCAAAATCTCAGCAGAAGACGCCCTTCGCCGCACGCAGTACCGTGGGGCACACTCCCCCCTCCCGACCCCTTACCCCGCGCTCCAGCCAACACAATTATCTGGCAGAGAGGCACTCTACGTGTCCCTGGGGTGCTTGCAAGAGCACGCTGAGCCATTCCCTCTCGCTGTGCAAGATGCCCCATGGCACGCCGCTTCCCCTCCCTGTGCTGCACGGGGAGAGAGGAGAGCTAAAGTGTGCAGCTGCTCTCCTTCTCTGTCATGATGACTGCAGGAGAAGGATGCTAACCCATATATTAACCCCCCCAACATGACAGATGCCAGCTCTGTGAGCTGCTGGAGGTGCAGCGCGCACCGCAGCACATCCACGCAGCCTGCGCCGTTGCACGGGGCTCCCGCTCCCAACGTTGTGGCAAGCGCCACAGCTGCTCCAGCCCCAGAAGAAAACAAACCAAACCAAAACAAACAAACAACAACAACAAAAAAAAAAACCCCACCCCAAAACACAAGCTTTGATTTTTCTCTGAGATATTGTTTCTAGGCCAAGCTGAGGCGAAGAAGAGTGTCCAAATGCGAGCGCTGGGCTGGTGCCACCAGCCGGCGCGATGGGGCTCAGGCAGCGCACGGCATCAAGCACTGTCTGCAGCCCCGGCGCTGCTGCAGGCGAATAACCAGAGCGTGCACAGCACCGGGGACGCAGCCGAGCCCCCCCCAGCCTGCCGGCGATCCGCAGCCACCCCCGGGAAGCGCAGACGGGGGCTCCATCCCTCCCCGTGCAGAGCTCACACCAGCGTCAGACAACAGGCATGCGTGTCCCCGCTCTGCGCCGTCACAGCTTCCCTGCAGCAGCTCGTCACAGCCACAAATAGACCCCCAGAGAGCTCGGCATTGCTTTTCAGCTGAGCTAAGGCATGTGTTAAACCCTGCAAATGCAGGCCCAGCTCAGCCCAACAGCACCATTCAGCAGCCCCATGCAACCCTCACCCCTGGCTGCTGTGGTACCCCAGGGTCATAATCCGGGTATTTATCCCCAAATCACCTGTACCTTGTTGTGGTTTTACTCATCTGAATATCACCCAGAGGTAGGGCTGGCTGGAGGGAGCATGGACCCCAAAGCTTTTACAGATTCTCTCAGGTCCTGAGTGACTGATAAGTCCCATGAATTCCGTGCTATGGGAAGAAATAACCCGCAGGCTGAGGAGATCCCAGCCCGTGTCAGGCTGGGAGCGACTGTGCCCGACGCAGCTGCGGCTGCTCAGACCCAGCTGAGAGCTGCCCAGGCAGAGGCTCTGCCGGCAGGGAGAGGGACAGGCAGGGGCATCCTGCTCAGCTGTCCGCTGCTCGTTAATCAGCACAAATTAAACGAGATCCTGAGGACGGGTAGCCATGGAGGAGGGGGAGGGGAATGCTGGTGTTGTTTCTGGTCAAAATCAGGCGTGCCGTGGTTTAACCTGTGCAATATTGGCCTACCCAGCTGCAGGGAGTTACAGGGGGGCTGGAAGGAGAAGGCAGCAGGAAATGAAGCATCAGCAAAGATGGAGATGGCTCACGGAGACATCAGGGATCCCTAGGGAGAGGGGCTGGGAACGCTGCCAGCGCTCCTGCCCCAGGCTTAACCAAAACCTTCCCAGGATGCTGGTGCAGGCAGACGGGGCTGGAAGTGTGGCTCTGACACAGACCCAGGACACACGCGGGTGGCTGCTGGGTTTCTTTTCTACAGCCAGAAAACAGCGGGGGGCCTACAGCCGTGGGGTGGGCGCAGGGCCCTCGCCGTGGGGCGGCTGAGCGAGCCCAGCCGCTGGCTGTCGGTGGCTCTCGCCAAGGCGCCAGGCTCGCTGCTGGAAACGAAACCCCGTGGGTTTCAGGAACCCGAAACTCGCCGTGCCGCTGACCTCTCTGCTTCCTGCGCGGTGGCCAAGCCCTTTGCCCGGGCTCTGAGGCCAGGTGCGCGGGGAGTGCCCGAGGGTGCGCGTTATTGCTCCGGCTTCTTGCTGCCGTCCTTCTTCCGAGGGTCTGGTGGTTGGTGGTGGGCTGTGGTGGCTTGGATCAGCTTGGGCCAGCGGCAATTGGGGTTCAGCAGCACGGCGGGGGGCCCCGTCAGGTCAGCTTGTCCCTGGGACCCCGGGGGCAAGGGTGGGGTGCTGGGTGCCAGGCAGGGCCGCGCTGGTCTGCTTCCCTGCAGGCGGGGCTGGGGTCCCCGGGGCTGGGGTCCCCGGGGCTGGGGTCCCCTCCCAGGAGCCAGACTGCGCCAGGAGAAGGGACTGGGAGAAAAGGAAACCGGCCCAGAAGCAGGGAAGGGCGGGGGGCGCGGGGCTTGTTCCCAGCCCGTAGCAAAGTGTTGTTGTTGGGGATGGGGGGGGGGGGGCACACACGCGTGGGTGGTGTGGGAAGGACGCGGAGCGGAAAAGGGGAGGCGGGAGGGGACGGGCGGGGATGGCCGGGCGGCTGCTTCCCTCTAGTGGGAGCGGCGGGCAGGGCGAGGCGGGGCGGGCACCCGGCCCCGCACCCCGCGTGTCCGTGTCACCGCCGCCCACGCGGGCACGTGGTGCGGCCGGGACGCGTTTCCGGAGCGGCGGCGGAGCGGTGAGAGCGGGCGGGACCGGGCGGCGGCACCGGGAACCGGCCGCTGCCGAGCGGGGCGGGGAGGGGGGAGGAAGGGAGCTCCGGGCCCTGACCCCAAAGCACTCGTGGGGTTCCCCGGGGCGGTGCTAGGAGGGCGTCCCCAAGCGTATCCGGCCCCCACGCGGTGTCCCGTGGTCCCCGTGCAGCCGCGGCACCCACGGGCACCACTCCCTTGTCCCTGGGAAGACCCCGCTGTCCCGTTCCCCCCTCCCCCCCCCCCCCCAATGTCCTCTGGGCCTCCACGGGGCAGGAACGCCAGCCCCACGCAGGGCTGTTTTTTTTTTGGGGGGGTGGTGTTTGTGCATAAGCACCCCAGCACTGCTGAACCAGCCAGCACGCCACCCGTGGGGTGTCACCCAAGAGAAGGCGTGGGGACAGAGCCGCAGGGGCAGCCCGCACCCTGGGGAGTGTGGGGGGTGACCCCGGCTGGGTGCCAGGGGCCCCCAAAGCTGCTCTGTCACTGCCCCCTCAGCCGGACAGGGGAGAGAAAATACAACGAAAGGCTCACGGGTTGAGATAAGGACAGGGAGAGATCAATCACCAGTTACCTTCGTGGGCAAAGCAGACTCACCTCGGGGGAAATTGTTAATAAATTAAATTAATCAAAACCAGAGTAGGGTAAGGAGAAATAAACCCAGATCTTAAAACCCCTTCCCCCCACCCCTCCCTTCTCCCTGGGTTTAACTTTATTCCGAATTTCTCTACCCCCTCCCTGCCAGCAGTGCAGGGGGACAGGGAAGGGGGGTTGTGGTCGGTTCATCACGTTTCTTCTGCTCCTTCCTCCTCAGAGGGAGGACTCCTCACACTCTTCTCCCCCTCCTCCAGCGTGGGGTTCCTCCCATGGGAGACAGTTCTTCACTAACTGCTCCAGCGTGGATCCCTCGTGGGGCCGCAGGTCCTGCCAGGAGCCTGCTGCAGCGTGGGCTCCCCGTGGGGTCACAGCCTCCTTTGGGCATGACCTGCTCCGGCGTGGGGTCCCCCACGGGCTGCAGGTGGAGATCTGCTCACCGTGGGCCTCCGTGGGCTGCAGGGCACAGCCTGCCTCACCATGGTCTTCACCACGGGCTGCAGGGGAATCTGCTCCGGTGCCTGGAGCTCCTCCTCCCCCTCCTTCACTGACCTTGGTGTCTGCAGAGTTGTTTTTCTTACATATTTTCACTCCTCTCTCCAGCTGCAATTTCCCTTGCACAGTTTTTTGACCCCTTCTTAGATATGTTATCACAGAGGCGCTACCACTGTCGCTGATGGGCTCGGCCTTGGCCAGTCTTGGAGCTGTCTGGCATTGGCTCTGTCAGACACAGGGGAAGCTTCTAGCCCCTTCTCACAGAAGCCACCCCTGTAGCCCCCCCCCCCCAAACCTTGTCATGCAAACCCAGTACAGGCAGGCTCAAGGAGGACCAAAGAAATGGAAATTTGTGTTTTGGAGATGTGCGCTCAACTTGATTCCATACCCACAGCACGAGACCCCCTGACACGTAACGATGGGGAGACCCAGGAAGGAGCCCACCAGCACATCATCCCCTCGGCCAGCCACCGCCGCCCCCAAAACCGCCCCCGCCGCCCCACCGCCTTCTGCCTCAGCCACCCAGGCCAAGGCCACGGCCGTGGGCAGCCGATCCAGGAACGCTCCAGCTGCCGGCCCCGGCCGGGGGGCAAAGCCAGACTCCTCTCAACTGAGACCCACAGCATCCCGTGGGGCAAAGCCAGACTCCTCTCAACCGAGACCCACAGCATCCCGTGGGGCAAAGTCAGACACCTCTCAGCCGAGACCCACAGCATCCCGTGGAGAAAAGTCAGACTCCTCTCAACTGAGACCCACAGCATCCCGTGGAGAAAAGTCAGACTCCTCTCAGCCAAGACCCACAGAATCCCGTGGAGAAAAGTCAGACTCCTCTCAGCCAAGACCCACAGCATCCCGTGGGGCAAAGTCAGACTCCTCTCAGCCAAGACCCACAGCATCCCGTGGAGAAAAGTTAGACTCCTCTCAGCCAAGACCCACAGCATCCCGTGGAGCCCGAGGAGATGCCGGGGGCGAGCACTCAGCATCCGCCGGGAGTTGCTCTGCAACCCAGAAGAAGTCACCTGGTGCCAAAGGAGCCGCCGGTCCGGCCAGATCTGACCCACGGCCACAGAAGCAGCAGCCCGAGGCTGAGCTGAGTGGGGCCTGGGGCCAGCTCCTGCCCCCCCTGGAGAGCCAGGACATCGCACGGGTGGAGAAGGAAACGCGGGGCCAGCGGAGCAACCCCAAGTGGTACGAGTGGCGGCAGAACCGCATCACCGCCTCCGTGGCCCCCAGGATCTCCAACAGCAAGTTCGCCAATGGCAGGACGGACGAGGTGCCCCAGTCTTACCTGAAAGCGGTGGTGAGCTCCAGCCCCGGGGTGCAGACGCCAGCCATGGCCTGGGGGGTCCGCAGAGAGAAGGCGGCCGTGCAAGCCTACGAGCAGCTGAAGTCGCGGGCGGTGGGCACGCCGGTGCGGGTGGAGGACTGCGGCCTCTTCATCCACCCGGAGAAGAACTGGATGGCCGCCAGCCCGGACGGCATCATCAAGGAGGCGGCCACGGGGAAGGCCCTGGGGCTGCTGGAGGTGAAGTGTCCCTACAAGCACAGGAACAGGACGGTGCGCGAGGCGTGCAAGGACAAGGACTTCTGCCTGGAGGTGGACGGGGACTCGTATGCCCTGAAGAAGGATCATGCCTACTTCACCCAGGTCCAGTGCCAGCTGGCGGCCGCCGGCTTCCAGCAGGCCGACTTCGTGGTGCACACCACCAAGGAGACGGCTGTGGTCCCCGTGGAGTTTGACACCGAGTTCTGGGGACAGACGGTGCCCAAGCTGGAGAAGTTTTACACGGAGGCGGTGATTCCCCACCTGGAGGAGAAGGCAGACAGATCCGTCTGGGCCAAGGAAGAGTAGACCCTCCTGCCTCGCTCACCCTGATGCTCGCTTGGCTGTGCAAACCTGGCTTTGGCCCTTAGCATAGAATTTACGCCCAGTTTTGCTGCTGTTCTTGGACCAGTTGCTGCCTCTGCCCCAACGCAACTGTCTCGGGACTGACACATTGTACCAGCAGGACCCTGCCTTGGTAAGGGTCCCCATAAACGGTGACACCTCTTCCTGCCCCAGCCAGGCCAGCGCTTGGCCCCCAGTGCCTTCTTGTCCAGTCCCCCTCACTGCATCCTCCATTTGACCCAACATCACTGCCTGACAGCTGGCACACCGCTGGATCTGCAGGGGAAACCGGTCTGTGCTGGAATAACACTTATTTTGTGGAGAAAACTGGATCCTTTGGCAGCTCAACTGCTGTCGAGACCAAACCATAACTCTACTGGAGTGCGGACAGGGAAGGCTTGTCAGAGTCCAAGAGCAGAACACAGCTTTTGAGCTAAATAGTGATGTGCCTCTGGAGTCACAGCAAGGGTGCGTGGACACCCTTCCTCCCTGAACCATCGGACCTGCTGCTTCTCTGGAGTAACCCACGAGGAGTTGGCTGCAGCCTCAGGAAGATGGTTGATCTCCTGAGGACCCTCCTGTGGAGCATCGCTGTGTGCTGCAGCAGGGTGGGGAAGCAGTCATCACTCTAGTAGATCTCTATTAAATGCAAGAATGCACTGGCCTGCTTGTTCCCTGTTGTTTGTGCAGCTCGGTGTTTACCTGGGGGGCGGGGGGGAGGGACAGGGCTGGGTGGGATCCCCACACCAGGTCCCCTTCCAGCCACAGCAGAAGGGGAGCAGGGGAGCACTTGGGTCCCAGAGAGAAGCAAGATCCAAGGCCACCGACCTATGCCAAAGCCACCACCATTATGGCAAAAGTACTTTATTATATACATAAGACTCCAGCCACACTCCACAGGGCAAGGACCAGAATTTGCTATTTTACATATCAATACAAAGTAACTATAAAAACATAAAGCACTTTTGGGGCCCAGGCTTTCCACAGGAGGAGAGAGGCACAGGGATGAGCCCGGGGGCCGCTGAGTGACAGGGGGCTGCCTCACACCCTCCCCCAGCTGTGGTCCCACAGTAACCAGATGTGCAAGGAGGAAAGAACCCAGTTAAGAAATACAGTCATGGGGACTGGCAAGTGGGGGGTGTTCCACTCCCTGCTGCAGGCAGCGGCACGCCGGGGGCCGAGCCAAGTGTCACCAGAACAGGAGTGGGGTCTGTGCCCCCCAGGGAAAGTGCAGAAGGCACATGGGCCAGGCTCTTTGGAGGGGCTGTGAGGAGAAGGTGGATCCAATGGTTAGTGCACGTGGGGCCCCGGGAGATTGATCACACCCACCCACCCCCCCTGCACAGGGGACATGGAGCGGGGAAAGCCTTTCACTGCCAAACTGAACTGGGGGCCTGGAGAGGGCACATCCTGTATCTCTGGAGCAGCAGTTGCATAGAAGGGGCTCAGGGCCCACTCTTGACAAGTCAATAGGTTTCCCTCTACATGTCCAGGAAAAAATAAAAAACAAAACAAAAAAAAACTTCTGTGATGGAGGGAGTGCTGGGAAGGAATGCCCTCCCAGCTCCTGGGACCATCTGAGCTCAGGCCTCAGCACCCAGCTGGTATTGAAGCAGATGCTCCACCAGACAGCCCTGCAGGCAGGAGATGGCCACAGGCTACAAGCTTCAGTTGTTTTAAACTGGAAGTGGAAAACACATGGAAAGCTAAGCAGAGCACTTTCCTGCTCCCCTTCCAAAGGGCTCCCAGCCCTGTCGTGGCCAGCTCTGAGGATAACTTCAGTCTCCTACCAGGAATCCCACCCCCCCCTTTACACAGGAGACCTCAGTGCAACTGGAGAACATGAACCAAAGAGGGCTGCTCGGCAAGAACAGCCTTTGTAATCATCTATCAGAGGATGCCTTTGCTGCTCCTGACCCAACAGGACTATCCTGGGGCTGCGGCACAGCAAACGAAACCAGGAGCACCATTGGCCAGGGGAAGGACCTCCCCTGTGCAGCCTACAAGGCTGATGAGCCAGAGATGGGTGGCTCCCCCAGTACCCCCGAGACACAGAGCCCCAGTCTGCTCCAGGGATCAGCAGGACTGATGTCCCGTCCCGTCCCTGCCCTGAAGAGTGGCAGACTACACGGAAGGAGCTCGCCTGGGCTGCACCTACTTGCTGGAGAACTTGGGTCACCGGGGGCTTTGCCACTGTAGCCCACCTGGAGGTCTGAGACAAGGCAAGGAAAATGGTGAGGAAAAAGGAGGAAGGGGAGTCACATCTTGGGATAAGTGTAAGCTTCCACCACACCACAGAAAAACTACTTGGACTAGGTTCTCCTCGGCTGCCCTGGGGAAAGGCACTGAGCCAGCTTCCTGCGAGGACAGAGGTGTTTCCAAGTGACCCAGTGCGTGGCTGGAGCACCCTTCTCTCCCCCTCATACCTCTGGGGTAACTGAGCTCCACGGCCAACACGATCCCCGGGGAGGACACGTGTGGCAGTTTCCAGGAGTCAGAAGTGCAAGGGGGACAGTCCAGCCCCACAGCCCAGCCCCTCCCCTGACATTACTGTGCACTGATTGTCTAGGCAAACCGGGCTACAGTCTTCAGTTTAAAGAGGGGACCCCCGGCCTCCCTGCTCCGGAGAGGAGCTTCAGTCACAGAAGCGCTTGCGGGGCACTGTCCGAGCTCGGTTCGAGCGGCGAATCTCCTGCTTGGCATCGCGGCATCGCTGGCAGATGAAAACCTCAGGCACGTTGGATTTGCGGATCTTGGCACAAGAGAGGTGGATCCAGGTAGCGCATTCGTTACATTCGATCATGGGCCTCCCCGCGAAGGGCTTCAGGCAGAAGCAGGTGATCAGGTCCCAGGCATCATCGTCTGCTCAGGGACAGAGACACCAGTCAGAAACCACCTTACCCACTGCAGGTCCAGATGTGGCCAGACTAGCCAGTGCCACTGGTGCGAAATGGGACAGCCCCCCACTCACCTTCTGCTTTGGTGTTGGGAGCTGCTGCAAATTCGACCGCTAATGTTGCGAAAGGGGGAGGGAAAAAAAAAAAAAAAAAGAGAAAAAAAAAAAAAAAAAAAAAAAAGACCAGATGAGCAAGGCGGCCCTGCAGCCCACTTCAGACACGTTTCAGGTCTGTACGGCTTGCTCTGCAGAACAGAGCTGCCAAAGGGCAGGCCAGCTCCCTGCCCTCCGCTCTTCAAGCCCCCAAAGTCCCGAAGGTATTTCCCTTGCTGGGAGAGGCTTGGGCTATCAACAAGCCCTCCCTGCACCCAGTATGGGTGGCTCCCACTGAGGGAGGGACAATATTCGGCACCAGCTGCAGCACAACAGGGCCCTCCGCGTTCCCTCGGACACTCACCACTGAGCTGGGAGCTCCCTCTGCTTGCATCCTCCCCTTCGCTTTGGTCCAAGGTACTACAAGAACTGGGACTCTTCCTCCCTCCAGAGCAGGGTTCATGCTCTTGTAGCTGAGGATCATCTCCTGCTGGCTTCTCGGTCCCCTGCGCTCCGTGCGTCCAGTCCTTCTCCTCCTTTATCAGCTCCTCCAGGAGGGATTTGGGCTGGGGTTCCCCAGCTGGGTTGAGGGGAGGCTCCAAGAGCTGCTCTTTCACGGGAGGCACTTGTCCCTCCAGTGCAGCCAGCTCCTTCACCCCATCCTGCTCTGCCCCAAAGCCCTTCCCAGCGCTCAGCGGCACCCTCTTCTCCACCTCCTGCTCCAAAATTAGTTTCTTTGCTGGTGGTTTCTTCCGTATGGTTTGCTGGGGCCGGACATCGTAGAAGCCGGTGGGGAAGGCAGGACAGCTCACGAGCAGGCTGCTGTCCACAGCCTCCCTGGCCACGGCGTTCCTGCTCCTCCCGTCGTCCGTCAGGACGTGGCAGTCGGTGGAGTGGGACGAGGCCCAGCTATCGCTGTCCTGAGTGCTCCCCGTGCTGTTTTGGGGACTCATGCTGCCTCCGTGGGTCCAGGGCTCATTCTGCAAGAGGGAAAGATGCAGGACTAGCGTGGGATGGAGAACGACTCTCCAGGAGAAGAATCAGGAGCTGGGTCCGCACATGGCAGGGAGCCCAGAGGAACCAGTGTTTTTGCGAGCTCACTCACCTCTTCAGGGTAGGGGATGTAGCCTGCGTAGGCCAAAACAAAGGTGCAGAATTGGTTGAAATCCTCCACGGTCCTCTGTCGTTTCTGCAACGGCTGCAACGAATGCCACGTGTCGATTAAACTCCCCGGATACCCCAACCTGAGCCGAGTATCACAACCGACCCCGGCACGCAGCCCCAGCCCGCCAGGCAATTCTACAAGCACATAATATTTAGGTCACCCGCACATCCATCCTTCCTGTAACCCATTCTGCATCATCTGGCTCGACAAATGCGGCCCTTCCCGTGAAACCCCAGATCACGGCGGGGGGGTGTGGGGGGGTGGGTGGGTGGGTGGGTGCGCGTGGTGCTGCACATACAGTGACGACACAACGGGACACCCAAAAAGCACAGCAGCCGCCGGGCAGAGCGTGAGTCAGAGGCCGGGGAGCCCCGGTACCAGGGATGTCCGCCCACAGCCGGCTGACTCAAGGGCAGAGGGAGAAGGAGCCGGGAGGGCACCCCTGGCTTTGGGCTTCCCCGGGGTCAGCCGCAAGAGCCCGGCGCTGCTCAGGACAAAGTCCCGGGAACGGAGCGCCGGGGACCCACGGCCGTGGGGTGCGGGACCGCCGGGAGCCCGCGCCGGCGCCCCCCCCCCCCCCCCCCCGGAGCCCGGCGGTGCGGACACCCCCCCCCCCCCCCAACACACCCTCCCCGGGGACAGAGGGGAAACTCCGGGGCCGGGCTGCACGGCTCCCCACGCGGGACCGACCCCCCCCCGGGGCTGGGGAGGGGGCGGCCCCCCCCGGGGCTCCCCCCGCCGCCGCCCGGCCCCGCGCCGGGCACCTGATGGCTCCCAAGATGGCGCCGCGCTCCCGGTCCTGCCCCGACCGGCCGCCGGGGGGGGGGGGGGGGGGGGGGGGGGGGGGGGGGCGACCCCACCCCCTATGCAGACACCCCGGGCACGAGCAGCACCCACGCCGCCGTGGGACACCCGCCCCCCCCCACCCCGTCCATCCCCGGCACCGGCACACAACAGCCCCCCCGGCCCCCCCGTTGTGTCCCGTGTCTCCCCCCCCCCCAACCCGTTCACGCACACCCCCGCAGCCCCCGGCCCGCCCCGGGTTGCGCGTCGCGGCACAACGCGGCCACGCAGGAACACGGCCACGCCGCCACCCCCCCCCCACCCCGGACCCCGCGTGCCGCCGCACACACACACACACACACGCACACGCGCGCCCCGGGTACCATCCCCCGCCCGCACCCACAGCCCCCCCACTCCCTCCCCCCCCCCCGGGGCTCCTCGCACACACCCAACCCCCCGCCCCACGCACACTCACACACACAGATCCCCCTCCCCCCCAAACCTCGTTCAGGCACACCCGCCCCCCCCCCCCACGCACTGCGAGCCCCCCCGCAGAGCCCTCCTCGACACACGACCCCCCCCCACGCACAGCACACGCACACGCACACACACACGCACACGACTTCCCTGGCGTAAAAACTCACGACACCCTCCCCCCGGCCCCCCAGCGCGCACGCACACACAGACACACACGACACCCCCCCCCCCCCCCAGCGCACACGCACACAGACACACGAGCCCAACCCCTCCACGCACACACACTCACAGACGACCCCCTTCCCTCCCCTCAACCCCACCGCGGGCACCCCCACGGACCCCCCGTCCCCGCCGCCCCGCTCACCTCCTCGGGCACGGGGGATCCGGGGCTGGGCACGGGGCTGCTCCCCCCCGAGCGCGTCCCGCGGCTGGGGCACGGTCCCCCGTGGGCGGCGGCGGCCCCGCGCCCCTCGCCTGCCGCCTCCCCCCCGGCGCTCATGCCGCCCTGCCCTGCGCGGCCCCGGTGCGCTCGGTGCCCGCCGCCGGTCGGACCGAGGCTCGAGCGCCGCCCCGGCCGCAGGGGCGGGGCCAACCCGGTGGCGGGGAAGGCGGGGGCGGGGCCTCACTCCGGCGCCCCGGTTTTTGGGGCGGCGGGGGCGGAGGGGTGTCCGCCCGTACCGGCGTGGGGGGCCGCGGGAAGGGCCGGCCTCGCTGCCACCGGGGCACCGCCGCGCACCGGGGCTGGCCACGCCGGCAACACCCCCCCCCCCCCCCCCACCGGGCACACCGCTGCCCCGGTACCGCCCCCCCCCCCCTTTCCTCCCACCTCTCCTCTACCCCCGGTTCCTCGTCGCTCCCCAAACCGCAACCGGATCCAGCACCCCGCCAGAGCGAGCACCCAGCCCCCGCCTCACCCCCCCCCCCCCCCCCGAGGGGCCCGCGGTCCCCAGTGGGACACGGGCACCCCCCCCCCCCCCCCCCCCCCCCAACACCGAGGAGCCATTTAATTCGGCAAAACCCATCCAGAAAGCATTCTCCCCCGCCCCTCCAAATTCAGCCCCCCCCCCCCCCCCAAGGAAAGGAGAGCGCCGCACCCGCTGCGTCCTGGGTTTATTTACACGGCGACCGCGGTGCGGGCGGGCAGGAGGGGGCCGGGCAGCCCAGCCCGGGGGCGGCTGGAAAGCCGAGGCAGGCAGGGAGGCGAGGGGGCACCGGCAGCAGCGCGGGGAAGGGGAGCAGGGAGCGGGGCCCGGGGCAGCGCCGGGCTCTGGCTCCCTCGGCACTGCAGACACAAGCCCCTGGGGAGGACGGGCCAAGCCAGCCCCGCTTGCAGGGGCTAGGGGGAAGAGGCAAGGGTCACTTTTAGCAGCAAAGGCCTCGTCTCCCTCCGAGGGGGGCAGAGGGGATGGTGGCATGTGATGGAGCCAGACTAGTGTTCAGGCAGTTAGAAAAAAAAAAAAAAAAAAAAAAAAAAAAGAAAAGAAAGAAAAAGGCAAGAGGGGGAAGCGAAGAAACATGGAGAACAGCTCCTCTCCAGCCCTCCAGAGCACGGAGGGGGGGTCAGGCCGTGACACCTCCTTCCCTCCTCTCGGCAGAGCAGCAGCTCCAGGCAGAGCCTTTCCCGAGCCCCCAGCGTGCCCCCCCGGCCACGCGCAGCACCGGGCTCCTGCTCCCTCGCTGTCCTTCCGCCCGGTCCCAGGGGGGGAGAGCCGTTCAGGTGACAGTTTGATGGCATGGCTGACGGTCCATGCGGGCAGCAGCGTCCTCGGTGCTCTGCCAGGCACAGTTGGGATGGATGCTGAGGCGGCCGAGCTTCGTGCTCCAGCCCCCGGCTCAGTCCGGCTCCCGCCTCCCTTATAGGAAACCCTCCTTCTGGAACTGCTCCTTCAGGATGTCTCTGTACTGGTCGAAGCCGCCCTCGATGCGGGTCACGGTGGCGTTCTCGCACACCCACAGCTCCTGGCACACCAGGCGGATGAAGCGCTCGTCGTGGGACACCAGAATTACACCACCCTGCCAACACACAAGGAGGGAAAAAAGGGAACTTAGCGGAGCACAACCCAGGGCCCAGGGCTGGTGGCGTGGAGATCCTGCGCCCCTGTCCAATCTGTGCCCAGGACTTTGGGTTTCCACCTGCTCCAGGGAAAACTGAACATTATTTCACTGGCAGGGACCTAATCCCAGCCTTTCCTTCCTTCAGGGGGACAGACAGATGACGTACGGAGGAGGCATGCGCAGCACTAACGTATTTAGCCTCCCTCCGAGAGGGCAAGCGCAGGGGTTGTTACTGCCTCTCCAGGTCTCCAACTTCAAGGACAAGAGATTCCAGGTGGAGTCACTGACAGTCAAAAGGTGGCAGGGCAAGGCCCAATCTCAGTTAAAGGTTTTCTTCCACAGCAAAACTGCCTCAACTTGAGCAACCTCAAACCAGCGAGAACCAGGTTGATCACAGTGGTACCTGGAGGCCGAGTCTTTGGAGGTAAGCCATAAAACGTGCCTAAGGAAGATCCGAGCGGCCCCGAGGCAGGGCTGAGCGCCACGTGCAGCATGTGACAAGACACAGGGCGTAGGTGACCAGTCAAGACGAGGGACATCTTGTCTGCTGTTGCCTCTCTCAGCCAACCCTGACCAAAGCCAGCAAGTGAAACAAACCACAAGGATGGACAGCTAAGGCAGAAATGTGTCTGACTTCCCAAATCCTGCCCTGGACTTGAAGCCACCACTGGTGTTTGACCATCCACCTCTGGCTGAGATACCAAGTAACTTGAGCTGGAGGCTGTACAAAGCGTTAGAAAAATAGGAGATCTTGCCAAGGGCACCTTACCCGGAACTTATTCAGTGCCTTTGCCAGTGCCTCAATGGTCTCCATGTCCAGGTGATTCGTCGGCTCATCCAAGATGTAGAAGTTTGGACTGGAAGAGAATAGAGCTCTGAGCATGCCCTGGAACAGGCCTGGCTGGGTTCGTACCCTGTCACACTGCAGTGACCTCCACGAGGCTACTGCTTTAGCCACGCAGGGCCACAGCCACCAGCATGTGCCTGGCCCCAGGATCCGCGATGCCCAGCTCCTGGGACACCTCTTACCTCCGTGAGCCCAAAGCCGTAGGGGAAAGCCACCTGACTCCTTCCACACAGTGAGCCCAGGGTGACAACCTCCCTCCCCACAGAAGTCCCACGGACGAGGCTGCTGCAGGGCAGCAGAATGTCCCTGGATGCCCACCTTCCTCCCGTTGAAGCAGGCTCCAGGGATGGAGCCATGTAAAAATTAACAGCATCTGGGAGAAAATTACCAGGACATAGTCATCTGGGCAAAGGCCACGCGACTCTTCTGACCTCCAGACAGGCTGGCCACGGGCCGCACGGCCAGCTCCCCCGAGACGCCGTAGCTCCCCAGCTGATGCCGGTACTCCTCCTCCGTCTTCCCTGCAAAAACGTGTCACAACACAGCTATGGCACACCCGGCGTGACACAGGGCCCTCAGCGCCGTGAGCTCGGTGGGCACCGTGGCTGGGCAGCCTGTGCCAGACCGGGATGGCAGGGGAGGGGTTCAGGAGCCGCTTCCAGGCAACTCCCTCCCAAGCAGGGGGTTTGCAGAGAAAACCCGACCGACACAATCGTGACAGGGGGCTGCAGGGCTGGTGACTAACTCCAAGTGACGCTGCCCCCAATTCCCTGTCACTACGTTACATAACGTCAAGCAGTGGAGAAGGGAGCCAGAGGTTTTGGCAACTGGGAAAGGGGGAGCCAGTGCTCGTTCTGTGCCCAGCAAGAAAGCGGGTCATCTGCCCCCAAAACCCAGCCACGGTGGAGCACCAGCCTGTGGTCTGCAGGCTGCCAGCTACCCCCGCTCCTCATGGCTGGTGTCCTGAACTTGGCTGGACGTGAGGAGTTAACCCAGAGCAGGCGGTGTCCCTGAAGCACTGATGTGACACGAGCTTTCTGCCCATGGCCACAGAACAAATCAGTGCTGCTCCGCGTGTGGCAAAGGAGACCTCAACGGTCCAGACCTCCTGGGATCTCTAAAACTCACCTGGGAACTTTCTTGCCAGTAACTCTACAGCACTGATGTTCAAGTCCAGTTGATCCACGTGGTGCTGGCTGAAATAACCAATCTTCAGGTTTCTGCGCAATGAGAAGAGAGATCGGGAGCTGGTACCAGGCCCTGCAAGCACGCTGCTCGCAGCTGCAGCTCCAGGAAAGGGGGGCATATGTGTGGGTGTACAGGACCCATCCCCATCACTCGGGCAGCCATCACTCCAAAGCACAGCCCAGAAGCACCATTCCTCCCAGTCCCCCAGCCCTTCCTACCAGGTACCTGTGAGCATGTCTGATCCCTCTGACTGGTGCCAGCTCCCCCATTAAGATCTTTAGCATGGTCGACTTGCCAGCTCCGTTTTCCCCAACCTAGAGAAGCAGCAGCAGCATTGGAGAACATGAAACCCATGAAGGCACTTGGAAGAGGGGGGCAGTGATCAGGGAATTTCAGCTCTGTTGGGTGATCATGGAGTGGAGGGGCACAGGACGAGAGTCTTACCAGTGACTCCAACTACCTGGAAGCTGCGTTTCTGTCACTGAGGAGCAGTGTAGGCAGCAGTGCTAGATGTTCCCTCGCCAACCCCTGAACCTAAGGATTACCTGGTCCCAGCCTCATCTGCAAGCACAGCACCTCTCTGCTGCCCCATCCAATGTAGCAGGAGCTCCCACTACATGCTGATGTTGTCAGCTAACAGGGACTTACAGAGAAGATGGACCCAGTCTCTTCTCAGAGGTGCCCAGTGAAAGGATGAAGGGCAACAGGCACAAGTCACAAATTCTAACTGGTATCAGGAAAAATCCTCCAATGTTCCTCAAAATGAGGACGATCAAATGCTGCAATGGGACCCAGAGGAATGGGAGAAATAGTCCTCCATGGAGATACCCAGAACTCAGCTGGACCAGGACCTGAGCAACCTGACTGAACATCAAAGCTGGCCCTGCTTCGAACAGGGGCCTCCCAAGGTCCCTCGTAGCCACCGTTATTCTGCAATCCCACATACCACACAGATGCGGGACTCCAGGTCAGCAGAGACAGAGAGGGAACGGAAGATGTAGTGACTGGGGTCGTAATAGAAGTCTACTTCGTCTAGCTGCAGGATTGGGGGGGAGAACTTCTCGAAGCCATCGGGGAACCTGGAAAGGAAGGAAGAGGTGAGAAATGGCCAGGAACTTTGGAGACCCTGCTCCCAGCCCCCCAGGACAACCTCTGCAACTCCCCAGGTGGCAAAGGCGGGCTCCCTACCATGCCGGGCCTCTGGGAAGGATGGTCTCAAGAAGGGGACACAGATCTGCAGCTTTGGCCCCAGGAGGGAACCCAGCCTGAATGCAGGAGCCTGTCTGGGCTCACTGTCAGAGTAAGGCTGGCCCGCAGGAGGGGGTGGTTGTCCCAGCTGGGACAGGACCCAGGGGGAGCTCACGTCAGAAATGGAGCTAGGCACCCTCAAAGCAAGGGCTCAGGGGACACTTACTTCATGATCACCTCAGATTCCTTGTCCACAGGTTTCAGCTCTGGCCTGCAAGAAGAAGAGATACATAACCAAAGTGCCTTGCACTGGGGGTCTGTTCCCACACCAGAAGCCCAGAAAATGTCTTCAGCTCTGTGACAGCTCATCCTAGCCAAGGCCTCTGGACCAGAGACTGAGCACCCAAAGCCCAAACAACCTCCGTATCTCCCAGGCACCCTGAGAACCTGTCTCTTCCCATGAGCACTGCCCCTTCACCACTTCCACAGAGGGGCAGGACAGGCACTCACAGCTTCTCCAACAGTTTGAGCTTGCTCTGCACTTGGGACGCCCGGTTGGCGTTGTAGCGAAAGCGGTCGATGAAAACCTACAGGAGAGAAAAGCGTCAGAGAGCTCCAGGCTCCCTTCAGCCCCAGCCATACTGCTCTGCTGCCAAACCTCCTGCAACAGTACAGCCACATCCGTGGGGTCTAGAGGCATGGAGAAAGGGACAAGGCTGGGAGGAGAGTGCCCCAGCACTACTGGCTTCTCCCAGTACCTGTATGTGCTCGCGATACTGCTGCTGGGCTTCGTACTCTCGCTGCTGGTTCTTCAGCCGCTCCTCCTTGATCTTCATGAAATTCTCAAAGTCCCCACGGTACGTGTCCAGCCGCTGCGAGTGCAGGTGGATGATGTCCGTGGCCACCGCGTTCAGGAAGTTCCTGTCGTGGGACACCACGAGGATGGTCGACTGCCAGGTCTGGAGGAGACAGCGAGAGGGAGGCCTGAGCATTATCAAGCCAGAGCACAGGGCTTGGTCCCACCACCCTTCGAGGCGAGACACCAGCCAGACATCCCCACCCCTCGCCCTCGCTCTGTCTTGGGGTCTCCTGCCAGCCCCTACCTGCAGGTAGGTCTCCAGCCACAAAATGGCCCTCACGTCCAGCATGTTCGTTGGCTCTGAGGGAAGGGAAAGAGGGACTGAGGTCAGGAGGGATGAGGACGGCTGAATTATGTTTTTTTACACAGGAAAGGCTAATTAGTGATCAGCGCTGTGGAGGAAGAGACCCTGAGTGAGGACCTTCCCCCCCCAGCTCAGGGGACTCACACATGTAGGGTGTAATGGGGTGTGGGCACAGGGGCTGAGGCTCAGCCAGGGACGCTCCCCCCCACTCCATACCAGCACCCAGATCCTGAGCCCAGCAGCAGTGTCTTGCCCAGACCCCCCCACCCAAGGTGGGCATCTCCTAGCCCCATGGTTACGGGGAAGGGACTCCCCCCAGCGTGGGCTGACAGGGCCAGGGGAGGGAAAGGGACCTCTTGGGTCAGGATGACATGCAGACCACCCAGCTGGGGCACGGGCAGAGCTCTGCTGAGCACAGCTCTGCCCAAGCAGATTTCCCCGCACCACCGCCAGCTCTGCCCGCCGTGCCAGGGGAGCACCAACAGCCCTGCCAGTCCAGCCCCATCACTCAAGGGCTATTTTGAGCAGGCAGCTAAAGGCCATGGCGCGTTCCCAATGTTAGCAAGGGCACATGCAGGCCCAGCAGTGGTGTCAGAGGGGATTCACAGTATCGACTTACCATCCAGCAGAAGGAGATCTGGCCTAGGAAAAATAAGACATGGGTATCAGAAGCAAAAAGAGCACAGGGTCAGCGCAGAGCGCATTTCGCCACACACACAGAGCTGTGATGCCTCCAACACTCCCCGCCCTGAGAGCCCGAGCCGAGAGAACCCCCAGGCAGCACCCCTGCAACGCGCAGCATGGACAGCAAGGAGGGTTAACCCCACAGCATGAAGGCCTGGACACCAACCTGGCAAACAGGGCTCTGGCTAAGGCCAGTCTCATTCTCCAGCCCCCGGAAAACTCTCTGAGGAGAGAAGAGGTTGCACAGAGGGGTTACTGTTTAATGCAGAACAGCTTTATGTTTGCCTACCTGCCAGGCTCCCTGCTCCCCCACAGCCCTTTCTGCTCTGCTGTCACCCAGAGACAGATTGTCCCTGCAGAGATCTTGGGCACAGCAGGCAGGTGGCCTGGCACCCCCAGGGTAGGAGATCACACTGGATGGGCAGGAATAGACCCTCGCTCTCCCACAGGGCTTCCCTCCCTTACACCTACAGCAGTGCCTGGGGGCTTGCTAGGAACAGTGTCTCCCCAGACCCATTTCTGTCTCGATGCCCAGAGCTTGGAAACTTACTTGGTTGTCTGTTGCTGCATCTTTGCATTAAAGCCCAGCCCAGCGAGAATGACGGACGCCCTGGGGAAAAGGGGAGGGAACTGGAATCCAGCTACAGCATCCAACGGTTGAGCACAGTCCGAGGTCTTGGACCCACAGCCACCAAGGGGACTCTGCTGCATGGTTTAAAGCCATTCTGGCACAGGAAAACTTCCCTGCACACCCAAGAGCAGTGCTTGGCTGGGAAATGCAGCCCAGCTGGCACAGCATCAACATGAAGTCCCAGAAGATTTGCAAGTTTTCAGCAATTTGGCCAGGAAAAGAGTCACTACCACCAACATCCCAGAAACACTCCCCAGCCACCAGGATCCTGGGGAGGCCCAGGAGGAGCAGCTGCAACAATGCAAGCCATTTGGGCCAAAAAAATCCCTCCAGCTTCCAGGGGAAGCTCGGCTGCTCCTAACCCATCACGGCTGTGACAGAAGAGACGGGAAGAGCAGTAGGGAGAACCCCCCTGTCCCTATATTGTGGTTTAAAGGGGGCTGAAACCAGGACACCCTACATGCTGGATCCCAGGGCCACAGCACCACCCTTCCATGCCCCATACCACTGCCCAGCTCTGGCCATGCCAACAGACAGCAGTGCCCACAGGGCTCTCTCACCTCGCTGGCGCCTTGTCTGCCTCAATCTCCTCCAGCTTCGCGTAGATCTCCGATAGCCTCGCACCTTCTGTCCCCTCTCCCCTGGGGCAGGACAGAGAGGAGTGTGTGGGACTGACCACGGTCAGGGTTTGAGTGCTGCGGGAGGGCTGATCTCCCCATGCAGGGCAAGATGCAGCCCAGCCCTGCTGGAACACTTCATTTGAAGGGAGAGACCTCAGGATGAGACCTTGTGGTCAGAGAGGCCACAGAAGGGCTGCAAACCCCGTGGCAACACCTCACCTGCCAGCATTAATCTTGGCCGTCAGATCCCTCTCCTCCCGCAGCAGGCTCTCACGAGTGGTGTCGCACTCCAGCACACTCTGCAGCGCCGGCGTCTCGTCCCCCGCCACCTCCTGCTCCACGTGCAGGATGCTGATGTGCGAGGGGATGCGCAGGCTCCGGCTGGCGATCATCTTCAGCAGCGTGGTCTTCCCCAGCCCGTTCCTGCCCACCAGCCCGTAGCGCCGTCCAAACGCCAGGTTCAGGTCTGCTCCCGCCAGTAGGACACTAAAGCAAGAGAACAGGCAGGTACATGGTCAGACTGCCCCACGGAGAGGGGGATAACCAGCAGCCACCTACCCCCAGCATACTTTAGGCTGTGCTGCAGACAAGCAACGATCAGAGTCTTCTCTAGCCCAAAGCCAACAGGGTCAGGTGCCCACCTCGCTTTCTGATCTTTCCCATACCCTCTGTAATTTCTCAACTACTCTCCAATCCAGTCTCAATCCCCCGTGGTCCGAAACCCCAACGAGGATCTGTCCCACCTCCCCACCTGCACTCACCGCTCACCGAAGGACACATCGAAGTTCTCGATGCGCACATCATACGACTTATTCTTGCCTGATGACTCCATGCGAGTCTCCTTCTTGCTGGCAGCTTGGCTGGCAGATGCCTCCTCAAGGACCCTATGGGCAGGCAGAAGACAGAGAAGGGGGCTCAACAGGAAAGCCCTGGCACAGCCAGATCCCAGCCACGCTCAGCAGAACGGGATGAGGATGTTCAAGGCGCCCTCCATACTCACAGAGGACCAGATGACTTTAGGGAATCACGCTCCATCCTCTTGTCCTGCTTGGCTTTCAGCCTGGCTTCCGCCTTCTCCAGTTTTTTGGCATTCACCATCTGGGGCACAAACCAGAGAGTTTAAAGAGGATAGAGCATCTTCAGCAAAAGCCCCAAAAGTCCAACTCCAGGAGAAGAGATTGATTAACCCCTCACACCTGGAGGGAAGGGAGGGAAGGCAGGACAGAGGTCGGATGGAGGAACTGGGACAGATTCGGGAGCATTTTGAGGAAGCTAATCAGGCCAGGAAGTCACTTCAGGAATGAAGTCCTAAATCAGCCATTCATATACAACAGTTCTGCTTCACCAAGGCAAAGGGTTTGGCTGACCCTAACGTACAGCCAGTGTCTGTAGTTCCAGGGATCTGGGTGAGCCAAGTCACTTCAACAGCAGCAACCTGCTACCCCAGTGCCACTTCTGCAACACCCTGCACACATCCTCACCCTGGACCATGAGGTGTTTCCCTTCCCAACACGTTAAACTTTAGCTAGTTTGGAACAAACTCAGCTTACGCAGTGGATCAATCACAACAGAGACAGTAAGCATTTAATTAAACCCGAAGGCAAGAAGGAGCCAAGTGTTTTAGTCTTGCCTCTGGTCTTGGCCAGGCTCTCAGCCCACTCCAGCTTATTCCTGCGTCAAGTCAAATATTTGTGGCTGACCAAGAACACTCCTAGATATTTCTAGGCAACTCTGCAGCCACTGGAGCATGTTACAGGCCTGCATGCTAGACTGAAGAGCGTCTTGTTACTGGAGTTGTGACCCCGTACCTACAGACAGATTGAGTCACTCTGTAAACTATACCAAGCTCCCTGAATCTCCCAGTAAGACATGTCCTTCAAAACTCGAGAGGCCTCCCGAGGCTTTCTCTGAATCATCTCCAATTTTTCTGAAGATCCTTTTTCAGTTGTAGACACGAGAGCCAGAGAGTGAACCCAGCAGCAACAACTCCGGTGCCAAAACCAGCAACAGCTGCCAGCTTTCACTTAAAACTCCCATTCAGACACGCAGGGATCACGTTAGGTCTCAGCCTCCAAGCAAGGGGTTCTCATCCTCAACACGTTACCCCAGGAAGGGAGAGCTCTATAAGAGACCAGCCTGGCAGAGAGATTGCCCACCCTGTACAGCTACCACCATCCTTGCTTTGCAGATGCACAACCGCACCTCACCTGTACTCCAACTTTGGCACATCCAATGCAGAGGGCAAGACAGATCGCTCCTGAGCAGCCACACATTTCATCGGTAAAGATGTTCCCACTTCCTCCAGGTCATGGAGCATTACTGCTTCCAGACTTCTCTGCTCCTGCTCTTATTTCTCCAACCATGACAACCCATGGCCATTTCTAAAGCTGGGCTTACAACCTCCCCGCAGCAGCTCTCTGGATAACAGCTGCTCCCTGCTAACATCCCACTTGTAACATCCCAACATCTAACCACTAGCCAGGATTTTCTCTCTCATTGAATACGGCAAGATGTCATCCCGGTACACCCTATTTTCTCAGTCAAAGGCCTTGCTGTAGAAGCCAAAGGTTCTCATGAAAGTCAGAGAAGCTGCACTCTAAGCACCACCACCACACCAACGACGCCTTGAAGCTCATTTAAAAATTACAGCAAAATAGATCTTGTCAAATTAATAAGCCACTGAGCCTCTTTACCAGACCAAGGTCAAGAGTTTCCCAAATTACAGTGAACCTGACAAGGAAGGAGCAGTACCCCCTGCAGCTGTGTCCCTAACCAGGAGGGCTGACATTCCCGGCTGCTTCCCGAGGGCAAGGTGACCGGAGCAGGGCAGGGCACCTGCAGCCCCACGCGTTAGCTGCTCCTGCCACGTCTGCCGGCTTACGAACGAGGGCATGGCCCCCCACTTACCGAGGTCTGGCCCCTCTTCAGCAACAGCCCCGGCAGCAGGTCCACGCTGGTGTCCGCTGCAACCAGACGGTTGGGTTGGTGAGCTCGTGCTCCCAGGGAGGCTCCGAAAAACGCTGCCTTGACGGCTGCCCGTGACCAGGCACGGCCGTTCCCTCTCCCAACGAGGGGAGCAAAGGGTGGCTCCTCTCCTTTCCCCCCCCACCCCGGGCTACCCCGCAGGCAGCCGGGCGCTGCTGGCCGCAGCTCCGCAGCGGGAAGGGAAAGAGGGGAGCAGCTGTGAGGGGGGAGCGTGTACGCCCGGCCCCCCCGTCCCCCGCCGGGCACGCCGCTCACCGTATCCGTCGGTGATCTGGGAGAGCTGGATGGGGGTGTCCAGCAGCACCTGGCTGCAGCGCTGGGCCTGGCCCTCGTCCCTGCCAGAGAGGAGGAGGAGGGTGAGGGGGTCGCGGGGGTCGCGGGGGGGGGGGGGGTCAGCGGGGGCCGGGGTGACCCTTACAGCTGCAGGGTGTTGAAGAGGCGCTGGCAGATCTCCCGGATGGCGCCGTCGTCCTTGGCGTCCTGCGACACCTCCCGCAGCAGCTCCCCCACCGCCTCCACCAGCTCGTCCACCGACTCGAAGTCCGCCCCGCCGCCGTGCAGGATCCCTGCGGGCACACGGCCGCCCCCGCTGCACACCCGCGCTGTCGCGACGGGCAGCCGCCGTGTCGCGATACGGCCAGCAGGTGGCACCCGCCCCTCCCTCCCTCCCTCCCGCCGCCGCCTGTCGCGGACGCGCGGCCCCGCCTGTCGCGACAGCGGGGAGGCGTCGCGACAGGCGGCCGAGCGGCGGGTAGGCGGGCGCCGCTCTCTCACCCGTCACGTAAGCGAAGACTTCGCCGTCCAGGTCGGGGAACTCGCTGCGGAGGATGTCGGCGCAGGAGGCCATGGCGGAGCCGGGCCCGGCCGCCGCCGCCGCCGCCGCCTCAGGGAGCCCGGCCCCGCGGCAGAGGCGGAAGGGCTGGCGCGGGGGCTGCCGGGAAGGAGGCGGGCGGCCGCCATGCGCGCGGGGGCCGCTGGGAAGTGGAGGCTGGGGGGGGGGGTGTGTGTGTGGGGGGGGGGGGGGGGGTGCGCGCGCGTGCGCAGCGCGGGGCCGGCGCGAGCAGGCTTCTTCCCCCTTTCAGTGAAAAAAACAAGTTTCAGCTTCTCCAACCCCAGTCACTGCACACCCCGGCCTGGTGTTTTGGCATTTTTTAGTTTTTTTTTTTTTTTTTTTTTTTTTTTAATGCAGAGGTCGCGGTGGCTGTGTCGATGCTCGGGCACAGCCATTGCTGGCAGCTGAAGGGCAGCAAGGAAACGGGTCCCGCCCTGCGCCCAAGCCTCCAAAAGCCATGTCAAAACGGAAAACTCGTTTTTTTTTTTTTTTGTTTTTTTTTTGTTTTTTTTTTCAGCTGCTGCCAAGGAAAAGTTATGAAGGCTTCCTGAGGCTAAGCTCGGGCAGAGAAGCCAGGCCTGGATGCACCTTACCACAAGGGCAGCAAGGGTCAGGGCAGCCCAGCTGCAGGTTTCTGTGGGTAAAGCCCAGAGCACGCTCCTTTCCCCAGGGGCAGCAGTGCTGGCACAGCTGGCAACAAAAGCATCACTTGTTCTTTTCACTTACTAACACCCAGCGCTGAGGAAGCAACAAAAGCAAGTCCCCAGACACCCTGGCCCAGGCCCAGAGCACAGCGGGCACCACAAGTCCCAAACAGCAGCGCAGGCAGCCTTCTCCGTTCTACATACTTTATTAGATTCAGAGCTGGACAAATCACAAAGTGTACAAAATGGAGACCACACTACCAGAAGCAGGATTGTGGGTAGCAGCAGCATTCCTATGGCCCAGAAGCGTTTGGTAGAAGTGTGGAGAGGGCAGGCTGGGGCAGGGGGTTCTCACTGCCAGCCACATTTTAGATTCCCAGAGGACAGACCCTGTTCACTCCCTGACAGAGCTCAGCTGACCCGCACCCCCTGGGACAGAGGGGCCATGCTTCCAATTTGTTTGGAAAGGACAGACTGGCTCGCGCCAGCAGTGGGTGGGGGTAAGTGCTCTAAGGACCTGAAATGCTGTGCCACCCACATAACACACCAGCAAGAGCCTAAACCCTCATCCTTTTTGGTCACAAACCTTCCCATGGCAGGACTCTATACTGACGACTTTGCAAGAAATATAAGGTGGTGGTGAGATCTGGTGAGCCCACCATCTCCTCTGGTGGAGGCCCGACAAACTCACCACCCCAGGCATCTCGGACTGGCCAGCAACATCTACCACAACAGCAATAGCTAGTACAGAAGCCAGGGTAACTTCAACTCAGATTTGTCCAGTCTATGTTTAGGTCTATTCTACGAGTACATATGCACAAGAACTTCAAAAATACTAGGATATGATGCAAGTAGTGAGACACCAACAGAAGAGGAGTTTAATGGTGGACGTTCCCTAGAAAGATCACGAGAGGATGGGAGTTAGACTAGCCCTTCCCCACCCTGGGATGGGGAGCAGGAGGCTGACTGCACCCCTGCGCGCGACTGGGTTCTGAACTTCAGCTGCAGCGTGGGTGGTAACTGAGCACGGGCAGGCAAGTCCGCTCCCAAGGTGAGCCACAGGGTCTTCCAATCTGTGTAGAGGGACCAGGCAGATGTTTTCTCTGAATGTAGTTGAAGACTGAGAAGAGACGGAGGATGGCTTGGAGAAGAGGGAGCCCGCCAGCCTGCTGGGGCTAGCATCTGGTCTCGTAGATCCCGCTCCTGCCGATGTACCTCACCCATTTTATCACATCATGGTCACTGTAGTTCAGCTTTGGCTCAAAGACTTTCAGGTAGCGCACCTTCAGCCCAGAGGGCGCAAACGGGACCTGTTGAGAAAGGGAAAGGCAACAGAGCATTGGAACAGAGGGATAAGATGCTCTCCGTACACAAATTCCAGAGGACCCCTGGGCTATGCATCTAGAAATGGACATCAAGAGCCACTATTCCCTTCTGTACTCCCTGCATGCATGGTGACAGACTCTAGTGGCTTTAAGGGCAATTTTCTTCCATTAAGCTTTGCCACCTGGCTGGCCTCATGTTAGGAAGAGTCAACATGTCAGCTTGGGACAGGGAGCACTCCAACCCGTGGTATTTCCACGAGGGCAGAAGGGAACAGACTGACAAAGCTTCTCTAAGGTTAGCTGCACCCTGCAAGGCAGACAGGGACTCACCTCAAAGTTCATGGAAATCGGGGGCCGAGCCCACTTCTTCTTGTCATTAGTGGGCAGCAGTTCAATCTCTGCACTGATCTGGGATTCTTTCATTCCAGCCATACGTTTTATCCTATCAGAGAAAGCCCAGAAGTAAGAAGGTGCCCGAGCCGATTCGCCCCTTCACTTACAAATGCTCAGGGCATCTGGGAGCACTAAACAGACTCTGCCTCCCAAGCCCTGCCCTGCAGCACCCCAGACCCAACACACTCACTTACTTCCAGACAATGGCATTCTCACTGGCCTTGTACTTTGCCTTCCCTTTCATACAGATGACTTGCACTCCACTGGTATTGAGGGGCGTTGGGATCCGGACCTGGAAGTCAGAGCCTGGTGAGCAGGGGCAAGGAGATGGCAGCCTGGGCACTCTGTGCAGTCTCAGGGGAAGACTGCCTGTCTGGGACCCCTTGGGCTTCTCTCTCCCATCTCAGGGCCCAGAGAACATCAGCTACCACAAGGTATCCTAGGCTAGCTCTTCAGTTTCTTGTTTTGAAGTAAAGGTTCAAGCATTTTCAGAATCCACAAGTCAGTGAGGAACAGGGCACAGCTCTCCTGTTCGGTCGGCAGGAAACCTGTCTAGTGTCAGGCAGATGAGCTCAGGAAGGATGCCAGGCTGGCCAGGGAGGTCTGGTTGCACCAGGCTCTGGGACAGCCTAGCTATGCAGCAGTAAGCCTTTCCCAGAGGAGACTAAGCTTCAAAGCCACCCTTAGCCTGTCTTATACAGCTCATAACCTGCTGCCTGTCTGACATACCATCAGATCAAGCAAACCGAAGAACACGAACTTCTCAGTGGCCAAGACATTAAGTGAACAGTTGCTGCAGTGAATGAGGCCTCTGCCAAGGTAGCTATGCAACTGAAAACAACTTCCATCTCGCTACTCTACGGCAGTTCCCTTCCACAGCACAACACCACCACATGTTTGTGGGGCATTCAGCTGTCTCTCTTAATCCTGTACAAGCTTGAGGACTCATCTGTGAGGACTCTGCAGCAGCAGACAAAGTAGAGGCACAGTTCCCAGGCACAGGAGACCATAGTTTTTTATTCTCTTACCTCTATCTTCTGGGCCAGCAAGGATGGTTTGAAATTTGATTTGATCACCACCTTCACCTCCAGCTTGGTCCGACCCACCTCCCGCACCAGTGGGATCACACGGAAGGGAAGGATAATGTCCTTAGTGGTTCGGTATCTGCATGGATGGAAGCAATGGTGAACTCTGAGGCATTAACTCCCTTAGAGTCTCAAACTGTAACACCTTCCTAAAGAGACAGTCTCTGCACACATGGAACAGCTTAGAAACATCAGCCGGAAAGGGAGCCATCCCAGAAAGAAGCAGCAGTAAGACTTCTGCTGCTGTAGGGCAGTGATGGTTTCTTGAGGCTTGAGTTTTATATTCGGTTCCTGTCAATGGCCCTGTTCAAGGGCAGCAGCTTTAAGTGTTTAAAAAAAAAAAAAAACAACAAACCAGATACAGCAAGCTAAAGGGTAAGGAAATCCACATCCAACACTATGGTTGTGGCAAAGAAAACCATGCAGTTGGGCTTCCACCACATTTGTAACAGAATGATTTGTGGGACACCCTACAGATTCCACTCTGAAAACAAGGTGGCAAGTGCATATTTGCTAGGTGTTCAGGGGCTGCAAGTCTGCCTGAGAACAGCAACACTGCTGTAGCAGCAAGCAGATGCCAACACCAGCCTGTTCATCTCCCACCACAGTACCTCATAAGCTCAAATTCTCCATCTGGTGGAATGAAGCTGATGCTCCTCTCAGAGTCAAACTTGCTGAGCCTCACGCACTGGTGGAAAGTGCAGTCGTCGATGGCGATTGACTGTTTGCCACTAAAAACACAAGACACAGTTAAACAAGTGCAAGCTGCAGCCCTGATATCTTGGTGCAGTCAAAGTCTGCCCAGGCAGAAACTACTCTACAGAGCATGTTGCCATCACAGGTGTCCAGGAAATGGGGAGAAAGGGAGAGATTTAGGGGACAGTAGCCTCTTGGCTCAGTCTTTCCATGTTTCACCACCAAAAAAAAAATGTATTTCAGGAAGCTTGTTTAAAAGAATTCTCTCCCTCCTCTCCCAAAAGGGGAGAGATATTAGAGGAGCAAGATCAGAGGAGCACCCTTCCATCATAGCCAGCAACACAATGCTTGGGTCTGCCTGCCAGCAGCACCTCAGTACTGCAAAGGCAACTCTGCTACCCCAAGTCTTCTTGCAGCACAGTTCAAAGGAGAGAAAGCACTTTCCTGTCCACAAAGCTATCCCACTGCCACACAGCCAGGAGATGCCAGGTTTGGGGTCTTCCTGTTCTCTTTCACAGCTGTTGATTTCCACACTGCTAACAGGTGGTCTGATTCTGAACCAATTTGCCAAAGACCACAATATTACACCATAAATGTTTGTATCTCTCACTTCTAAAAATCTAAACAGCTACCATCTGTCCATCTAGGTGCACTAGCCTAACCCACCTGCATTGAACTTGTACTGGGTTCACCTTCCTTGGTCCTGCAGTCAGCCAAGATCTCTCAGCTACTGAGAGGGACCAGAAAATGAGAATGCAGTAACAACAGAAGAGACAGCAGTGTAAAAAAGGTGCAGCATTGTGATATCTAGGCTGCCTCAACTGCTGGGAGTAACAGGACAAACATGCAAGTGTGGTGAGATAGTATAAGCACTACAGGCAGGTTCCACTGCCCTAGGAACCACCATTCCCTACACAAACTGGAAGCAGACTGACCCCAGACTGACTGGCT